ATTATTTTGAGCGGCTTATGTCTTTCAAAGGCGACAAATACCTAGAATAGAAGTCAATTTTGAAATCAATTTTCCATCCGTAAACACAACTTTACACGCTGATTCGAACTGTGGTATTTTTGTCCTTGTTTGACGCATAAAACCAGAGATAAAGCTGAGCAAATTTGTAGATCATCATGAGTGTACACGATTAATAATAATTAATAAATTCCGAGCACGTGCAAGGAATTTTTGGTAGACGATTAAGGAAACGTATTGATGCGAACAAACTAACAAACTAACAAACAAACAAACAAACAAACAAACAAACAAACGGACAAACTCACAGGCAGAATATAATGCGGTGTCAAAAATGACACGGGCACCGCAATTTCCGTGTTTACAAGCGGCGGAAAATTTCCCGTGTTGACATGAAGTTATATCAACACGACTCTTAGGCAATCAGTGTTCAGAATTTACAAAATGCTATATTATAATCTACAATAAGTTACCGTCACTCATGGTTTGTGTATGAACTACCTGAGAAAGATATCTCAAACATGGAGGTCAAGTTTAGGCTGTATTCTACAATAAGCTGCCGTGGTTTGTGGTTGAACTATCTCATGAGAAAAATATCTCAAACATGGAGGTCCAGTTTAGGTGGTATTCTACAATTATTTGTTCGCAATGACGTAACTTTGGGATTTCAGTTGACGGGCAGACGAAAGGCCTTCCCCGAAAAATGGGCTTAAACGTTTTCAGGTAGTTCAGACGCACTCCTCCGCAGAGTCATTTATATATGTAGTAGTAACATAGGATTAGTAACATAGGATAGTAGAGAATTGTAGAGATAATGTAGAGATAGTGGAGGACATTTAGTGGTGCACGACGGGGGATGATATCATGGGGTTGACGAAATGAGCTTTCGTCTTCCCATCATACCTAGCGCGTTTTGACTAATAATTACGTAACGTAATTTGAGGTAATTGGTAAGGCTCTGCAGAGGAGATTGGTTCAAACGCAAACTACGACGGCTCAAATTTCGTGAACTATTTCTGTACAAAGCAACCCCTACCTTCTTTGCGAAGCGAAATTAACGAGAGGCGAGAAGGAAGAGCCTGACCTAAACCTAATCAAGTGTGGAAGTGGGATTTGCAACCGATGTGACCATGCAGAGGCTCTTCCTTCTCGACTCTCGTTAATTTCGCCTCGAAAATAGCCTCTGGAACCAGGGTAAGCAACTCCTTACCAAAGACGAATTCTGTTTGAATAGTTTTCCGAAATGATGGACCATGCTCAGGTCTTGTGGCTTTAACCAATCATTCGTTTCAGGATTTTTAAGAGACGTTTTCCAGAACAGACCATTGAATTCATCTGTCGCAAAGAGAACAGGAATTCTGAAATAAAATATTAAGAAAGGCCAGTCATCATTTTATCGTGATTCTTTAGTTACCGTGCGACCAAGGTTGGATTTCTGCAATATGCAGTTATCTTAACATTGGCCTTAAAATATCGGGCGGACACGGACATTGTCCGACCCATTCGTGAAATTGTCCGACGTAGAAACCACTGGACATTCTGTCGACCTAAGTGAAACTGAGGTTTATTGTTTGTCCGACCCGAGTGAATTGGTGTCCGACGTAACTGTAGCTTTGTCCAACGTAAATCAAAATGTACCCTAGTCCAGGACTCGTAGGTTAGATGGAGAATCAGAGTAATGCATAAAAAGTGAACTGGAAATGTTGTTTTAATGTAATCGAGCGCGGGGCGGCGAGCAAAATGGAAATGGTGACGTGGAAAACGTGCTTAACTTGTCGAACTCTTACTGTTGTTCTTGGCAAGCAAGTTAATTTTGGCTTGAAAATAAGTACTAGCTGATCTGGCCATGAGCAAAAAGTCTGGAACTAGCAACAGAATAGAAATCCATTTTGCTGTTTTTAATCGCTTAGATCTTTGCCTTTTCTTTATGAAACTCGCTGAAACTTTGTAATTATGTTTATTAACGAGGGTTATAAATCTACACCGTAAATTTGGGAATAAAGTAAAGTATATTTAAGGAGAAATTTGGTAGTTTTACAGTCAATTTCAGCTGACTTTTCATCGTAAGATTCCGAACTTCGTTCCGAACTTCGCAAATTCGTTGCGAAGTTCAAAAATTCATAATGAAATTCACAAACAGGTTTGTAAACAAAGCCTCTGATTGGCTATTAAATCAAACCAGCCAATGAAATGCCCCGTTTACAAACCTGTTTGTGAATTTCATTATGAACTTTTGAACTTGGCAACGAATTTGTGAAGTTCGGAACGAAGTTCGGAATCTTACGATGAAAAGTCAGCTGAAATTGACTGTAATCGAAAAATGGATTTCTATTTGGCAACTAGTGCCAGTCCTTTTCCGTGTTTTCATATCGCCTGGTATGAATGACACAAATTATTTCATATCTTCACAACATTTGCCGTTCTGAATTATTACTATAGCAAAACTTACTGACTACTTAGGCGTTGTACTTCTCTAACTGTGATTCCGACAGCATCGGTGGCAAAATTAGGTCGATGAAACGCCTGTTAATCAAGTATATACCATCAGTGTACGAGTCTACTTTTGCCTTTTAAAACTGGATATGAAAGAATGAGTGCATATACCTGGTTAATTACAGCAGAAATAGAGCTTCCGGCATCAATAGATATTTTCTGGCCAACTTTGTAATCTTTTGTCGTCTTAACCTGTTGGTTACAATGGGAAACAAATGTCAAATACGAACTTTGGTATATTAAAGTTTGGAATGGGTTAGCAAGAATCTACCACAGAGGACGTGCATGTATTTCAAGACTGCTACCTACTATGTACACTGAGAACCAACAGTTTGATGTCTACGCAAGCGAGAATCTACCACAAAGGACGTGTACTTCAAGACCACTACCTACTGCACACTGAGAACCAACAGTTTGAAGATAGTTTAGACAAGCGACAATCTATTATTCTACCACAGAGGACGTGTATTTTAAGACCACTACCTACACTGAGAACCAACAGTTTGAAGTCTAGACTGGTGGGAATCTACCACAAAAGACGCGTATTTCAAGACCACACCTACTGTACACTGAAAACCAACAGTTTAAAATTTAGACAAGCGAAAATCTACCCATAAAGGACGTGTATTTTAAGACCACTACACTAGACTACAAAGGACGTGCATTTCAAGACCGCTATAGTACACTGACAACCAATGGCTGGTGAGAATCTACTACAAAGAACATGCATTTAAAATAGTTAACTATTAATTAGTAATTAACTACAAGATAGTATTTAACTACCAAATAGGTCAATTTCTGTGACTACCTGAGGCAGACGTTTGTCGTTTAAGATTTGAAATGTCTTTAACCACGACAATGCTTCGTCAGGCTGGTCGAACCTCTCAGGTTTATATGGTGATGGTAAAATATTTTGCTTCCTGTGAACGATTTTGAAAACTGAAATAAAAATATAGTGTTGTACCTTTAATCACAAAGTACTTACACCGTTACGTTAAAAGTACTAAAAATAAAGAAAATAATTTAATAATTTACACTTGCTTTCATGCTGTACGTAATACATGCACGAGGGGCCAGTTGTACAAAAGTTGGATAACACAATGCTATCCACTGAATAATGATTTTTCACCCGTTGTAAAGTGCCTAAAGCTAACTGCAATCTTTGGTCAGAAGGTCACCTTGTAAATTGGTTATTGAACTCATAGTCATATGCTTGTATTTTGATCAATTTGATGATTTTCAATTTCATTGCAAGTTATTATAAAAGAGTAAAAATACAAACAATAACTGACATAATAATATTAATAACATAATACAACTAATAATAACAAACATTGTGTGGTTTGACATATTTCCTGTTCTGTGGACGAATTTCATTCATCTTGTCGGCTTGATATACGAAAATTTTCGAGCAATTGGTTTTGAGCAAATTATGGGACACTCAATTTTGACAAATGAAACATAACTCAAAAACATTTCTTTGGTGCCCGGTCCCCTGTCGCAATTTGCAAGCTTCAAGCGAAGCGGGCATGTTTGGATCACGCAAGGCTAACTGCAATTTTTTTGTTACCTGCAAAAAGACCAAATTAATATACAGGCATGTTGTAAAGTTGCTAAAACTTTAATTTACAATTACTAAAGTTTAATCAGGGTTATACCATTCAACAGACAAATTCAGTCATGTTTCGCTCGCTACTCTGGTTTAAATAAATGATTACAGAGCCCAGTCGAAGATTAATAAATGATTACAAAGCCCTGGCAGTCCAAGAGTATTTGGGTCAGTCTAAACGCCAGTTTGGTACACGACTAAAAGAACATCAAAAGGCTGTTTCAACTTTAGACAAGGGAAAATCAGCTTTAGCCGAACATGTATGTTACACCAAACACGAGATTGCGTGGGAAAACTCTAAAGTAATTACCACAAACAATCGCTATGGTCAAAGACTTTGCCTAGAAGCGTGGCATATAAATATAAGTCATCATGCTTTGAATAGGGATGACGGCGCCTATTTGCCAGAGGAATATATGCATCTCCTTAGCAGGTGACATCATCCCTTATGGGTATTTAAGAAGCCACGATCGCAGTTTTAAATCACCCCTGAAGACACTAGACTGGAGTGTCGAAATGTTGGGTCTTGATTACAATTCGACTGGGCTTTGTAATCATTTATTTAAACCAGAGTAGCGAGCGAAACATTATATATATATATATATATATATATATATATATATATATATATATATATATATATATATATATATACAAAACGAGGCTGAGACGTAGGTGTGACTTCATCGCTAAAGCTGCTTCAGAACGCCTAGCAGATTTCAGTATTTTTAATATGGCGGAAAATTTATACAGTATACAAATAACCTTGTAAACACAACAATCTTCGTTGATCATGTTCGATGGCTACATAACCAAATTCAAACTGTATTAAAAACGTGTTCAATTAAAAAAAATTATATACAAATTTACGATACTGAGTCTGAGCAATGGCCGTATAATCGTTGATGTTATTTATATGCTCGCAAGTTGCATTGTGATCAACACTATATAGACCATACTGGTATACACAACTCAGGTTTAAGTAGCTGAGGAGATTGGAAATATTTGCCTGACATGACTGTGTTGTCAAAACATTTTTAGTCGGAGACTCGGCATAATTTTCAAGCTTCTAGCTAGCAATTAATATGGCTTTATACTTTAGTAAACACGAGTCATTTTTAGCCTGTTATTCCATTCTGACCGTATGGTAGCGAAACGTAGCCTATTTCATTGTTCCGACAGCATTAGAGCAAAACTAATGACTTAATTATAAACGCAAAGGAAATTTCCATAACATTTTCTATTTACAAATGCGATATGCTTGGTAACCAGGCCAGGGACCACTTTTTTGAAATCAGGGACCATTTTACCGAAATCTGCTAGGCTCTCTCGCTGAAGCGTTCCGCACAGCACACCCAGGCATAATACTTTTAAGACTTATTTAAATATATCAAAGCAGCGAATAGAGAGAGAGAGAGAGCCTGGGACTAGGCTGGGGCCCACAGTAATTGGCATATGCTGTTGTGGTGACCCTGCCCTAGTTGGCAAAGCTAAATAAATAAAATAAATAAATATACTCCCATTGCCTCAGCAGTATCATTTATATAGTCAACGTTTCTTTTTTACTCGATGATTTCGGTCGAATTGACGTTAAATATGGCCATTGGCTATTTACCTTGGCAAAAACTTCCATTTCCAGTATATCCACTCTCACACGTGCAGAAAAATGATCCACCAGTGTTGGCGCAAGAAGCGTTGGAATGACAATTGTCAATCGACAGGGAACATTCATTGATGTCTAAGGATAAAAAAAAACACGAATGACTTTTTCAGTATAGTAGTAAGCGACTGGCAGGTCTTATCACAATTTTCCCCAACAGTTTAAAAATAGGAAAACTCATCAATTAGATCAAACCGTTACTTTGAAAATATAGAAAATAAAAAAAGGAAAACTTGTATAAACGAATTACAGTCTAACAGTACTCACCATAACAATATACGCCATTTCCGGTATAACCATAGTTACATCTGCACACAAAACTCCCATCAGTGTTAATACATTGCGAATTACTACCACAGTTGTCCAATCCTCGGGCACATTCATCCACATCTATGTTGAGCAATCATACACAGAAACAATTAAGTCTGTAACACTCATTTGAAACATTTTTGAAAATTACAATAAGTTAACTTCTTTGTATGTTTGCATGGCGATAAAATATAATAGTTTTGTTTGTGGAAACACCACGTAAATTTATTACTGCAAAGCTTTCGATCCGTAAGCCCGGATCTTCATCAGTGCTAATAATATGTGACTTGTTTACTTCACATGTTCTTTTTATATACAAAAGTGTGATGATCTGTTGGCTCGCGTCATTTGAAATTTAATTAAACGGCACATCAACCACGTCATTTCAAACGTAGTGAAGTGATTCCAATTAACACGCGCGCATCCAAGGCAAGAGAAATTAATTTTGTACATTAAAGAGAGCACGCCACGTACTATCTAGTGGCTTTCCCTCCTGATCTATAGTATTGTGCTTCTCGATTTCAATCGACTCTCTCTTTTTGCGAGAGAACCTATGACAATCAATCGCCAAAATGGTTGCTTCGTCCCATTTTATACGATGCATGGTCGTAAGCCCAAGTATGTTTAGCCACAGCAGATTTATCTTGCTCGGCTTTCTCGCAAATTCATCTTGTGTTCCTTAAGACGTACTGAGAGATTTCGACCAGTTTCACCAACGTAAGCCAGACCAAATTCACAAGGAATGCGGTACACACCAGGTTTCTGAGATTCATTTACGTTATCCTTATGTGCGCAAAGAGCTCGAAACAATTTGTTTTCGCTCGAATGATATACCTTTATACCTGCTTAATTCCTCAAAATTCTTTCGATTTTGTGTGAAGCCGGACCAATGTATGGTAGACAAACAGACGACTGATATTCAATCTTATGCTGTATACTTTGTGGCGTTTTCTTAGCATTATCTATGAAATGCCGTGGGTAACCATTCATTTTTAGAACATTTCTTAAATGATCTAATTCATCGTCAACGTTACTTACCTCAAAAATTGTTTTCCCTAGGTTGATGAGTGTCTTGCACACAGAATTTTTAATACTAGGATGATGAAATGAATTATAATGCAGATACCTGTCTGTATGTGTTGGTTTCCTATAAACCTTATGTCCTAGCGACCCATCATCATGTATAGTGAAAAGAACATCTAAGAATGGTATA